TTTTGCCCATAAGCCCAATATTATGGTGCATATGTAAGATTTTCTTTTTAGGTCTTATTTTGAAATATCACAAGAGATTGAGAGCAGCCATATAGAGAGAAAAGTGAGAGAGTGTAGATTTTCGCACAAGCCCTAGCAGTCAATTTCAAATTGTGATTCCCGTTTTGTTTCTTATCCGATTGAGCTGATTTTAGGACAGCTTGTTCCTTTCAACTTAATCTTTGAATGGGAACTGAGAGAGTGGTTTGGATTCCTGTAGCTCTAGATTTTTGCTCGTGAATAGTAGTTGCGTATTTGGGGTTTTTGCTCCTTTTATTTCTCTAGTTTTTGGTGTTATCTTGTAGTTGTGTTGCTCATTGTTTGGCACTTTGTTGGTGGCCATTTTGGAGAACACTTTTGTAACTCTTGTTGATTTTAGTGGAGCTTTGGCCTTGTGATTTTTACCCTTCACACCGAAGAGGTTTTCCATGTTAAATTTGGTGTCTCGTTTGTTGATTTATTTTGCTTGCTTGGTTGATTGGTCTGCTGCCCCAAACGGTGTTTTTCTTGCATTATTTTGTATTCTCTTGGTTCAAATAGAAGGGAAAGTTTGGACTTGGTTTTTTTTCCGCTATTGCCCTATCGTGCACATTTATTTTGTGCTTGCCTTTCCCAACAGAAATGAGCTGGGAAGGATTATAATTAAGGACGGAAAATCGAACCTCAAGTAAAAGTTCAGATAATCAATCAATTGAATACGTATGTAGTAAGACTCCCAGAAATTCAATACTTCACTTTAGTTTAAATTGAGAAATTAACAACGGAATAGCACTATAGAAGAAGAAAACTAACAAACGGAAACGAAGATTCATGTTATAGTTTATAGCATTCTTGAAGGTCAATTAATAAAGGAAAAATCACTCTCTTTGAAAAACAAAATATTACACCATCTCACTAATGAATTTAATTTATATACATCAACAGTATCAGGTAAATAGTGTAATTCTTTATATTAGTGACGATATATATAAGTTAAACCCTTGAAAACTTCAGAATCAAATAAATATTAATTTATTCAATAATATTAGCATAATCTCAAAGGCAAGTTCATTATAGATATGGGACTAACTACTAAGAAGAAGTGCCATCAGATGGGTTAATTTTTTTCTTATCATTCTTGAAAGTGGACACCACAGTTTTGCCAATCTTTTCAACAGCCATTTTCTTCACTGACTTCTTATCTTTCTTTGGGAACACACTTCCAATATTCTTTGATGTGCCCTTTCCATTATTCTCCATATGATCTCCTCTTAGAAATAATTATGAATATGAGCAAGTGTAGTGTATTATATATTGCTTTGTTGCTTTAAGTTGTGTTGCTTAGAGAAGTTCATATGTTGAGGTATTTATTGGAGTTTAGGCTTTGTTTATGGTATTCTTCTTAATGTTTTCAAGTAATTTGTTGTTCAATTTCTAAGTTACCTCATGTAAGATTGAGAGAACATTATTGTCTATTTCCTGCATGGAATGTGTGATTGTGTGTGTTTGGAATTTGTATTTATTTTTATCTCAAGTCTTGTGTTATTAAAATGTGTGAGTTCGTATTGATGCACCACTAAACTATACGTACAATTTTTTAATACAATCTAAATTTGTTTTTAAAATCAAAGTAATTTTTATTTAGAATTCTTTCTCCCTCAATGCATGTGAAGATGTTCAGAACACAAGGGTCAAGGCAACTTTAATTTTTTTAATTAAGAATTCAGGTATAGACTCTTCAAATATTTTAAAATAAAATTTAAAAACTACACGAAAAGTTCTACGAGTCAACATAACTGCTAATATTTTCAAAAAAAAATAAAGTTTGAGAAAATCATATTGTTGCATGGGTTGTGTGTGTGTGTATTGGAGGAGTGGGTAATTTGTGGGTGTGTGGATTAATTAAGATGACTCCTATTTAATTTGACTCATAATAAGATATGTAGATAGTAATTTACATAACGAAAAAATGTCCCTACCATAATATTTACATGAAAAAACATCTCGAGCTCAAAGAAATATATTATAACACATGCTCTAAATAATACGTAAAAGGATTTTATTTAATGTAATAAGCGTGTGGGCCAATTCTTCTCAAAATTTGTTGTGTTCAATTCCTTTATCGTGTTCTCATTTTTGTTTTGTATTTTTGTGTTTGTAAGGTGTAAAGGGGATTTATTGTAAATTTTGTGGATTAATTATCTGTGTTTCTTGAAAACATATACTCCCTCCATTTTATATTAAATAAACATCTTATTAAAAATATTTGTCTCATATTACTTGATCACTTACTAAATTAGGATAGAATTAATTAAATTTTTCTTATTTTACTCCTATAATTAGTATGGTCGTTGAAAGTTTAAACAAACTTTAAAGACCCAAGAATTTCTTTTGGCTTGGGCCTTGGGATAATGTCATTGGTTATTTTCTTCTCTTTCCCTCTCGTGAGCTTCCTGTCGGAGTCGACGTTCAAGAGCTAATTAATATGAACAAAGTAAAATTAATCAATATAATAATAATTTCTTAAAACTAATTGAGCTATTAAGATTTCTCAAAATCCAAGTACTTCACTTTAGTTTATATTTAAAAATTAACAATGAAATTACACTATTGAAGAGGGAAATTAACAAACGGAAACGAAAACTCGTGTTACAACTTATTACAACATGCTTAAAGGTTTTAATTAAACAAAGAAAATATCACTCTCATAAGAAAAAAATAAACTACATCATATATAGTTTATTAAATGAGTTTAACTTATATACATCAACAATATAGTAAAGAAGGTAACCAATGTAAACATTAATCTTTACAATACTGGAGATGTATATAAGTTAAACCCTCAAAATACATCAGAATCAAATAAATACATTATTCAATAATATTAGCACAATCTTAAAAGCAAGTTGATTATAGTAAGGGGACTAAGATGTGCCATCAGAGGGGTTAATCTTTTTCTTATCATTCTTGAAAGTGGACACCACAGTTTTACCTATCTTTTCAATTGCTTTTTTCTTCACTGACTTCTTATCTTTCTTTGGAAACACGCTTCCATTGTTTGATGTGCCTATTTTGCCCTTTCCATTATTCTCCATATCTCTTCTCTTAGAAATAAAATAATTAATTAAATATGAGGAAGTATAGTGTATTATTGCTTTGTTGCTTTAACTTGTGATGCTTTGAGGAGTTCATGTGTTTAGGTATTTATAGGAGTTTAGGCTTTGTTTATGGTATTCTTCTTAATGTTTTCATGTAACTTCTTCATCAATTTCTAAGTTGGCTCATGTAACATTTTGAGAACATTGTTGTTATTTCGTGCATGGAATGTGTGATTGTGTGTGTTTATGTGTGTGTTTGTAATTCGTATTTATTTATATCTCTAAGTCTTGTGTTATTAAAAAGTGTGAGTTGCGCTAATGGCCATGAAACTATTGATTTATAATTATAATCTTATTAGTTGCTAAAATCTGAGTAATTTTATTCAGTACTACTCTTTCTGTTTCAATTTATGTGAAGGGGTGCAGAGTTAGTATGAGGGTCAACATATTTTATTTTGATTATGAAT